CCCCCCCGGTGTGCTTGAGCACCAGACATCGTGCAGCCAGAAGGAGCCGAGCCGAGGAATGCTTTCACCAGGGTGTCGGTAGGAAAATCCCCCCCCCCCCTTGTACCAATGTGTGGCCGTAGTTAGGGTCGATATAGGTGACTAGCACCCAAGAACTGTAAACCGCCCAGAGACCCCTACGGGGGTTAGGGCGGTATATCAAGTCGAAGGATAAATAAAATAAAAATAAAATAAAACAGCGGTGTGGTTTGCCAGATTCCGGAAGGGTAGTCATGTAAGTCTATTGCAGCAAAAGAAGTCCTGAAGCACCTGAAAGACGAACGACATTTATGCCAGGACGAGCAGCTGTGAGTCAGGGCTCACTTCCTCAGATACAACTGGAAATGGAAAAAAATAATGCACCTCATTTTAAGGAAGTTGCAAAAGGGTAGGGGGCCAAGTGGCCGGTCATCATAAATCAGGTGCGATTCTCTAGGAGGAGGAAAGGAATATGGCTGGTGGGGTGGATTTAAAGGGAGTTTGACATCCTCTTAAAAGGTAAAGGTTCCCTTGCTCGAAAGCCAGTCGAGTCCGACTCTAGGGTTGCGGTGCTCATCTGCATTTCAAAGCCGAACAGCCAGTGTTGTCTGAAGACATTTCCGTGGTCATGTGGCTGGCATGACTATACACCGAGGTGCACGGAACACTGTTCCCTTCCCACTGAAGTGGTCCCTATTTATCTACTTGCAATTTCTTGCTTTCGAACTGCTAGGCTGGCAGGAGCTGGAACTAGAGACGGGAGCTCACTCCGTCATGCGACACACTCGGGTCTCGAACTGCTGAACTACTGACCTTCCACAGCCTGCATTTCAGCGTCTTAACCACTTGAGCCACCGCAGCATCCTCTTGCCTCACCCCTAAACAAACAACGCCGGCCAGCACAGGACAACTTTCACAGCTGTAATGCATCCCAGAGAACACCAGGGGGCACTGGCCCTACACAAATAATCCCAAAGTCATATCAAATCTACTACAACATTATCTCCACATTCTAAAGAGAACGGTGGTATAGTTTTGCTGGAATCACATTTCTTTAGACTGCAAGGGAAGGGTTTCGTGTTTCTGAAACCTTTCTACTCTGAGGGAAAGTGGCCTGGGAACAGTGGGGCCTGAGGAGGGACCTCAGCAGGCTATAATGCCATGCAGACCAACTTCCAAAGCAACCGTTTTGTCCAAGGGGGCTGATCTCTGCCACCCAGAGACCAGTTGTAATTGGCAGGCGTGTTGGGAAAGGAGAGCCCTTAGCCAGTTATACCACTAAGGAGCCCCACCCTCCAGAGCTGCTATTGATCTCTGCCGTCTGGAGATCGGCTGCAATTCCCGGAGATCTCCAGGCCCCACCTGGAGGCTGGCAACCCTGGCTTACATGTCGCAGGGTTTGTTCGCAGAAACCTCGGGAGCAAACTGACTCCCAAAGAGCGGAGGTGTCGGTCTTGGTGTCGTGGTTAAGAGCGCGGACTCTAATCTGGGAGAACCGGGTTTGATTCCCCACTCCTCCACATGCAGCTGCTGGATGACCTTGGGCAAGCCACGGTTCTTCCAGAGCTGTTCTTGAAAAAGAGCTGTTTCTGTCAGAGCTCTTCAGCCCCGCCTACCTCACAGGGTGTCTGTTGTGGGGAGGGGAAGGGAGAGGAGTTTGTAAGCCGCTCTGAGACACCTTTGGGTAGTGAAGGACAGGGTATAAATCCAATCTCCTCTTCTTCTTTCTTTATTTTTCTTCTTCTTCTTCCTTCCTTTCTTCTTCTTCTTCCTTTCTTCTTCTTCTTTCTTCTTCTTTCTTTCTTTCTTCTTCTTCATTTCTTCTTCTTCTTCTTCCCTTCTTCCCCTTCTTCTTCTTCCTCTCTCTTTCCTGACCGTCCGCCTCCTCCACCCTGGCTGTACCTTTCAATGTTTTTTTCATAAATTCCACCAAGCCCTTAGCGCCCTTCCTAGGCCTATGGGCACAATCCTGCCCCGATAAGGAGAGGGCAGGTGTGGATCAGCTGAGCACCTCTTCTCTCGCCAGCACAGTGAGCCCCCAAACCCGCCCACCCTCGTCTGCAAGCAGCTGCTTGTGACCTTGCCCTACAACCATTAGAGGCATTAAAAACAGAGAGCCGAGCTTCAGCACCTCAAAACATAACATAATTACCAGTCACGGGGTTTGCTTGGCCCAGTTTTGAGACACTCCCGCCCACGGCTTCAGGGAGGCCGCTCCGCAGGGAGGGCGCCACTATCTTAAGAGCGGCGTACAGCCTCCTTCCCTTCCTCTCCCCACAAGAGAACGAAGTTAGAGTCCAGTGGCACCTTTAAGACCAACAAAGTCTTATTCAAGGTGTGTGCTTTCGTGTGTGTGTGTGTGTGTGTGCGCGCTCCGCCTCTTGCCCACCACCTACTGGTAGAATTCCGAAGGCTCGAAAAGGTTGGGGACCCCTGCGCATAGAGACCAGGAGAAACAGAAGTCCTAGAGTGTTATCTAGAGACAGCCAGTTTGGTGTAGTGTTTAGGAGCGCAGACTCTAATCTGGGAGAACCGGGTTTGATTCCCCATCGCCTCCAGATGCAGCTGCTGGTGTGACCTTGGGTCAGTCACAAGTTATTTCAGAGCTGTTCTCTCAGGAGCAGTCCTCGAAAGAGCTCTCTCAGCCCCACCGACCTCACAGGGTGTCTGTTGTGGGGAAGGGGAAGGGAAAGGAGTTTGTAAGCGGCTCTGAGACTCCTTCGGGTAGTGAAGGGCGGGGTATAAATCCAATCTTCTTCTTCTTCTTCTTCTTCTTCTTCTGCTCTTACCAAGGACCAACCCCAAACCTCCAGGAGCTTCCCAAGCTGGAGTTGGTAACCTACAAGTCTCCCCCACCCCGTCTTCACAATCTCACCACACCTCTTATCCCAGGTAGGGTGTGATAAGGCAGATGTGTATCTCGCATCTGCAGCTCCAGGTTTGTGGTTGCAGCTGCCCAGCTCACACCCCGAAATTAGAACAGAATGCATCCTCAGCACATTCAAAAGTCACCCGGCTCAAAGCGCCTCCCGGCTGATACCGGGTACCACCCAACCAAGGCTGCAGAGGCTGTTTCATAAAGCCATGCCCACCGTTTCAGGAGAGGCAGCAATGCCAGTCCATTTAACCTTCATCCCTCAGGGGAGCC